TATCTCGCATGCTTCATTTGTGCCTATAATCAAATGCGAAAATCTACGTAAGGCGACGAGCGATGGGCCGTTAGATGTGAAGACTTGTTTGGATACGTTCGAGGCAGCAATGAATAGGATTAACTCAGGTCGGATTTTGTAAAGCCGCAATACTCGCAAGAGAAGCTGGAAAATCATGGTGTTGAACATGTTGCAGAAATCTGTCACCGAAATGAGAACGATTGCATCCGGATTCTCCAGCGTGGTCGTAATTGCCGTATCCCATGCTTGTCTACAAACATCCAGCGCTGATAGTTCTCTCCCGCCGGCCGTGAATGTCCCTAGAGCTCCAGCTTGCTCAGTCCGGATCTTGAGTTGTCTGCAAGCGTAAGAGAGGAGCGCACGCACTGTGGGCTCGGCACTGACTACCAGGCGTAACTGGGACCCCTTAGCCGCTTTCCCCTCTTTGTGCAGGTAACTTGCTACCTGCCTTTTGAGATGAGCTGGAACGAAGGAAGGAATCGACCTGGCAGTTTGTTCCTTTACTTGATTCAAGGAGTTCTCCATACAAGCCCGAAAGAGTTCCAAAGCTACTGGCGACCTCCGCATCGCCGCCAGTAAGGTCTTCCTTGCCCCACTTGGTGATTTCATTTCAGGTTTCTCTGCTGCGTTTTGTAATAGCTCCGTGGCTATATTGGTGGAGATCCTTATAGGATCTAGATTTCGTGCGATAAATAACATTTCTTCGAAGATGTCGTTGTTGCACAATTCAGGATGACCTAACCCTGTGATTTTCCAGAAGGCGCTCGCCTTTTCGAGGTGCTCCGCCGTCAAACCTGCCGCAACTTGCGCTGGGGTCTCGCTGACTAATGTGCCTGTTCGAAGACTGTGAATTAGTCCAGTGGGAGTTCCTCTCTTGGAGCCCATCACAGATTGTTGGACGCTGGTGGTGGCGGAAAACAGCGCGCTCGACTTCTGGACGGTGAGCGACCTCATCGCGGCTGTGATCGCCTTCTGCCTTGTCTCCTCGTATGCAATCATCTGCTTTTCGTTCATTGCCGTTTCTCGTGTGACGGATCCAGAAGGTTGTTGCCAAATCTTCATCGTACGTTCTTTGTCAACCTTTTCCCCGATAACGTATCCTCCAGCGATGGCCACTGCCGATAGGAAATCAGCTAGCTGAAAAATATTGTTGGGAATTGGTCGACGAAGCACTAATGACCGCAGTTTCTTCTTCTTCTTCCCCACAGGATTTCGCGCAATGGCTGCGTCTCTCTCGCGACGCCTTTCCTCTTTCCATTGCTTTTTTGGAAGCACGGCCCTCTGGAAGAGTAAATACCGTTCTATGTCATTCGCGTAATCATATTCAAGGATTTTCGTTTCTCGAGGCATTTTAACCTTGAATTCAAATCCATGCGCAAGATCGTCCTTTGTGGCTAACACGTAATGTGAAATATGGCGCTTAGAGGACGGACGTTGGAAATCCGGATAGCTGCTGAGAACTTGTGCTCGTGTCTTCGCCTTCACGGCTTCCGCATGGGCTTCTTGGTCTTTCTTGAGTTCTTGATCCAGCCGTGTCTCTACCGAGGCTGCATCGGTCAAGGATTGATTCGAGATGTATAAAGCGGCATGGTCCGATGGGTAATCTTGAAATTCATCATCGTTCAATAGCTCGTGGTATTCTTGATCCTTGATGTGAAATTTTCTTACATCCCCCGCGGATATGTGGATGATGTTGGTGAAGATATGATCTATTGTTGTTCCCGCCTCTGACCTAAAGCATGTGACGCCTATTCCGCGTATACGATTACGATGCCCGCCAATTGCCGAGATGGGATCTATGAGCGCTTCGCGCACCGCTGGAGAGGGATCCGAAGGTTTGCGGACAAGTGGGTCGAAGTTGAAATCTCCAGCTACAATAACGTGTCTGTCCCTGGCAAACGCTTTCAACCAATTCGCATATTTTTGCAACTCCCGTCTGGCCGCTGTGAGATTCAAATCCTGTATATCCTTGTGAGGTCTATAATACACGCTAACAAGGATTAACTTTGCATATACTGCTGCAGCAAAATAGGCAACGAAAGCTCGTGACTTGCGTATTCCGGTGTTCATCTGTGGTAGATCGTCTGGATTTGCCTCTAGAGCGAGAGTTTTGACACCCCCGGCAATCGGCATCGGGGCAGGGTAATCTCCAGATGCCAGTTGTAGAATTGCCGCTCCTCCAGTGCCATCGGGCCCACATTTTTCCACTATCGACGTAACTGCTGCTACACAATAAGAGATCGTCTCCATCTCGACTTTAGGCCCGTGCTGACCTTGCTTTCCTTTGCCGGTTCTCCCCTTACCTTTATTCGGGGGATAACGGTGGTCGGTCTTATTGTCTTGCGAGCCTCTTTGCTTTGGGCGCCTGAATTGAAGCCTACTCGCTTCTTTTGGCCAAGTTGCTTTCTTGAACTCTTGTACGAGGATCCATGTGGGTCTAAATTGAAACACGAATTGCTTCAGTCGCTTCCACGCACTCCAACCGCCCATATTCCACACTAGGACTCCTCCATTTGCATCAACAAAATGGCCATCCTCCCAGTCGTCAGCAATGAGATGCCAGGGTCGTACGATCGTCTCATTTACATCTGGACGCGTGGATTGCAACACATTTGGATGAAACAGCGTGTCTTGAATCCTTGCAAGATGTGTGTGCACTACGGGCCACAAAGTGGTGGCTTCCTCTGGAGCTCGGATAATTGGTCCGCGTGGATCATACAAGTCGTTCGAGTTCTGCCATGCTGCGATTCTCTCAGTAAATTGCAACAGAGGCACCGTTTCTAGATGCACTTGAGGCGTGCCTATCTGAGACTTAACTATAACGAACCATTTATCCTTGCATTTTGTTGGCACGAAAGTAGCTCCTCCTGCGACTGTGTACACCATTTTTTTGTATAAGTCATCCATTTTCGCTTTGCTGTCGATGCTAGCGAAGTGATTCGGTAATGATTCGTACCTCTGCAGCATGTCGTCCGTGTCTGAGCAGTCTCCCTGTAGCATGTGCTGCATCATCTCCGGAAATTCGAAGACCATACGCTTCCTAGTTTGAAAGCTGCGGAATTTGACTTTGTTCGACTGAGGATGCACTTCGGAAGCATGCATGAGTTTGGCTATGTCTGACAAACCGTTGACTTGCGCGGTTGTACCGTTTGCCAGGACGTTTACATTGGTCCAAGTTGCATCGTATTTCCAAGCGCGCAGGTGCCATTCCTGCGGCCTTAGCACAGCGCTTTTCCCTTCCTGCTGCCGTCTTTTAGCATATATCGCGCTTTCTATGTCAGCGGTGTAACTAAATGGAGCGGCGAAGGCCAGTAACATGGCCGTCTGTCTCCCTGTTTTGATCGCAACGGCCAGGGGCGCTATTTCTGCTTGCACCTGCGCCTGAGCTACAAGAAACTCTATCGCGACCGCTTTTAGTCTAGCGTTGGTCTCAATCGCGCGTGCACGGAACAGGGGAATAAACTTGCCCCGTCCTACTATGGCTGCTTGTACTTCATGCGAAGCTAACAGCTTAGCTATTGGCTGCGTAAGAGCTCGCGTCGTGATGGGTGCAATCGGGTGAATATTGCCTTTTTCATCCTTCATCTTCTCTTGAAAGTTGATTTGATTCGATATGTGCGTGGCATTCTGCTTGTGAATCTTCATTGCTTTCGTGCATAAAACTTGAGCATGATCAATAGCGACTTCTGCCTTGTGAAAGTATGCCTTTGCTTCGAAAATCCCAGCACGTCTGTAGTCCATGAGATTTGGCTCAGCGTTCATGGTAGCCACTTTTTCTACTTGTAGCTTTTTTTCCGGAACTTTCTTCTTCGATTCTGATTTTCCCACAGCGTCATGATATGCTACACCATCATCGCGTGGAGCAAAGGACGGGCGAATTACTGCTGTAGAAAAAAGTCTCTCGCGTCCTGCTCTTGTGGTCGGCTGATATTTAATTTTTTTCACATATTTTCTCTTCGGAGCAGGAGCAGCATTATTTCCCTCGGTGAGTTTGTTGCTCGTGGAGGCGGATATTACCTCGGTCGGAGGCTTCAGTGGAGATCCGTCTCTTGGAACATCATGTGTTCGCGTGTCCTCGCATTCAGCGGCGCCGCGGCGTGATGGTCGGGACAGGTCGTGGTCGCTGTGCCCTTGTGCATTCAACGGTGGCGGGTTAGCACATTTTTGAGGCACCGTTTCTAGAGCTATTACTCCTCCCGTGGGAATGAGTGGAGTTCCCTTTCTCTTGCCAACGATAGCAGCCTGCATATCGCCTTCAAACGTGTTTCGGGATGAGGAAGCGGTTCCTGGTGCGCCTGACGTCACGTGCTGCATCGTCTGGGCCTTCTGTGACTTTCGCGGATTCTTCCTCACCGGACGCTCGCGAGGAAGCGTATGAGCATTCGCAATTCGCCCCATGTCTTGTTCTCCTAGCTGTTGTGTAGATCGTTGAGGGAAAGCTACCCTGTGCTGTTCGGTTACACGCAGACCACCTGCTAATGGCAAAAAAATGCGTGCACTCCCTACAAGTCTTCGCGAACGAGAGCGAGTGCTTCCGTACTATGTGGAGGTCGACGAGAGATCTCTTATCCAACCGTTCCCTTCACAACTCGATCCCTTATCTGCGTCATGTCGCACTCATGCGGTAATGCAGACAATCAGTTCAGACATCAGGTGAGGAGTGGGACGCGTCGGTGTTTTTATGCTGTTTGATTCCGTTGATGAACCTTCTGTTTGACCGTTTCCTTCACAACTCTATCCCTTATCTGCGTCATGTCACACTCATACGGTAGTGCAGACAATCAGTCCAGACATCAGGTGAAAAGTGGGGCGTGTCAGTGGTTCCTTGATTCGTTCTTCTGCTAACTATTGCAATCCAGCTCCTTACGGATCCTTGCCTAACTGCGTCGGTACCCATGGAGTAATCCGGCACCGAGAGAGTGCTGCATCTTTTGGAAATGATCTGGGTCACGCGTGTCGTTGCACGAAGAATATCCTATTCACTGCTGTTGGGGGCCGGGCGACTCCATAATCCGCAAGAAGTTGCTATTCAGGTTCTTTACATGCACTACTGCGCGAGGATGATTATACTCATTGAATCGCCTGTCTACTCTTATGTGCGAGGTAAGTTCCCGTGCGAAAGTTGCTAAATGTGGACAGCTGAGAGCATGCACGAAACTAATCGCATCAAAGGCACTTCGTTCATGACACCTCGTGACTGCTGCAAAGAAAAAGTAGTCGTCCGTCAGGGATGTTGAGATCGGTTGATTCCTGATTTGGCTATGTCGCAATGCATGTAAGCTAACCTTGATCCAGAATCCTGATTTAAGAAGCACTCTAAGTACAATTGTGCGTGCATGTGGTATGTCCTCTGCTGAGTATAAGCCAATTTTTGCATTACGTAAAATCACCTGCAGTCTTTCTATAGGTAGAGGATTTCGGATGTCATGTGATGAATCAAAATGGATGTCTTGTACATTTCCATATTGCGTCGGGGTTACAGCTACTATCTTAGGGAAGTCGAAGTAAGTTACCATTTCGCGCATCTGATTCTATGTGTCTTTCTTTAAGGGTGTAGCAATGCTAATCGCAGTTAATCTTTGTGGAGTAATGAATCGCCTTTTTGTGGAATAGTTATACTTCTTTAGTATGCCATCCGTATCGCGACGAAATCTGCCACTCTCAATCCGAACGATGACCGGCAGATGGTTTATTTGAATATCCAACTCTGGATTGATTAATCTCTGCTCTCGTACAGGCATGTGTTTCATTACGGCTATGAAGAAGTTTAAGTGTTCATGTGTGGCGATTAACTGAATGTTTTGGACCATATACAGCGAGGCATGTCTTATGTCTACGGTGACTTCGACAATAGCTTTCTTGTTCTGTGCTGCGAATAAGACTCGTGTGAATACCAGATTGTACTTACTATGCTGAAACCAATATACTTCTTCATCTGGAGCATACAAGAAGTCTAAGATGTCCCCTAGTTGTACAACTTGCTGCAATTGCGCGACCAACATGTTTGTACAGTGGTATGAGTATGTCTTTTACGCTCCAGAACTACTAGGCCCTTTATGTTCTGTTGTGATAGTACCATGTTTTTTGTAGGGGAGCTAGTTTTTCGTGCTCTGCTGCTAGGAAATATTGCATGGGAGGTACTGTGTATTGCTTGCCGATCTCTCCGATGAATTTCTGAAAGCGAGTTCTTACTTGCGAGAAGATGTGCGCTGGGGCTACGTGCTTCTTGGTAACCCTTTCTTGTTTGAATAGCCGTGGTATTGATGTGAATACCTGCGACAGATCTGTTACTCTGCTTGTAAGAGTACTTTCTCCCCTTTGCGTCCTATTAGCCTCCGCTAAAACGGTCTCTAGCTGAGCACGTTCGCAGGTGTTGGGCAGCAGATGTATTTCAGACTTGCGAAACTGCTGGCCCTGATCCACCGTGAAGAAGATAATGATGCTGCCAGTCTCTCCTGTGGTAAATCGTATGTCGAATATCGCCTGAAGTCGCCCGTCCCGCACCCGGAAGGCCCCGAAAGGATGATCCGCTGCGAAGTAACAAAGTGTGATCAGACAGGGCGACATTCTTATATTGTGACTCTATTGCGCTATTATCAATTTCTCGGCGCTACTTTGATTGTGATATGATTGGGGATATGAGTTATCGCGTGCTGCATTAATGGAAAATACATAGTACATAACCAGGCATTTAACTAGAAATTTTGTTTCACCAGAATTGTAACACAACAAGAGAAAAGAGAAAAGCGGGCTTCGCTACCTTGTGCCACTGGAGAAGAAATGCGTGGGGAAGCAGACGAGACGGGGGGGGAAACTTCCAGGACGGAAGAACCCTGTATAGATGAATACTCTCCACGGGAAGAATGACTCTTTACTCCGAACAGAAGGAATATTTGTAATTGGGTGACAGAAGGAGTCTATCTATCTCATTTGTTATCGAGCGACTATCATGCATGTACCTCGACTCTCCGAAGCTTACTTCAATTTCATTCGTCTCACGAACTTTATTTCTCCTCTCGTGTATCATTTACAACTTCATATGGATACCTGATGCATTGGAGTCCATAAGTCACGCAACCTCTCTCGTCACTCCGACAGACATTTCTCACACGCTAGATCTCGATCAGCTTCCCGAAGGCTACTGGCAGATCACCAAAACATGTAACATTCACCCAGGTAGGTAGATGATTGCCACACGAGTCAGTTTCTCTCATGATTCAATTCAATTTTGGTATTCATTTTCATTTTATTCTTTCTTTTCTTCATCACGGTTCATCTGTTGCTCGCTTCGTGCTTCAATATTCATGATAACACACTGCCACTGTGATTCTATTCTTGCGTCATCGAGCGAGGCGAAAAGAAAAAACATGCTCTTCTGACGAGACTTAGACTTAACTACACTGTTGTGGTGCAGTGAAAACATTTTTTCGAGACTTGTGTTACGTTCTTCTCAAATGTAGAGATAAGTATCAGTATTCCCTTGTTCTGACATATTTCAACTTTACTTTAGACTGTATTTCTTCACATTATTCATTCATTCATTCATTTGATGCTGCCACTTTACATATTTTTTTTTTGGTGCCTGGGTCTACAATTTCCCGCTACTTATTCGTTAATATGATGACGATTGGACTAGATTGTAGGTTGTTTAACTTCACAAGCCCCGCAGTTAGATAAGCTAATCGTAAAAAACGCACACAACGTCAGGTGATATTTATAAATATAAACATCAATATTTTAAGAAAGTACAAATCCGATCTCCTCATCCACAACTTGTTTTGTAGTTATAGGAACACTACTTCTTCCACTGGATCATGATCAACAATTGATTCTTGAACTGTTACTGATTCATCACCTGTAGATGGCGCCTTCCCTGGTTTTGGACCACCACGCGACACACCCAAGACAGCAAGCGTTTTGTCAACGAGATTGAGCAGTTCTGGGACCTCCCGTCACACAGTGGCCTGATACTGATTCCCCTAATGTTTTTCTACAGGGGCTTGGGGGCGCGCTCCAAGGCTGCGGCTTCCTTTTCGAGTTCGTCGGCAGCGGCTGCGGCGCGATCAGCTTGAATTTTGGCGATGTTGGCACGATCTGCGAACGGCAAGGCTTTCTGTTCGGCGGCAGCACCCTTCGGGGTGCCGTGCAATCTCTTAGCCTCCTCGCTAAATTTTTCGGCATCCCGTGCGGCATTTTCGGCTAGCCAGCTCAGGTGGTTGGCCTTGTTTCGGGCGGTCCTGGCTTTCTCGTCCAGAACTGCGGCTTCGGCGATGGCACGTTGGATTTCCTCCTGGGTCTGTTTCGGCTCTAAATCCTGCTGGGCCTTTTTAGCGTCTTGTTCGGCATCGACGGCACCTTCAGGACTACAGCCGTAGAAACAAAAAGTTCCAGCTTGTCCAGGTGTGTTTTTGGAGGAAGCAACAGCACCACGAGGTTCAGCAGCAGAACCAACAGAACCCCCTTCAGGTCCAGCAACAGGTACAGGGGCACCAGAGTTACCACCTAAAGAGGCAGGAGGAGCAGCAGCAGGAGCAGCAGCTTGTTTAGCGGCCATGGTACCAACAGAAGTCGTGAACGAAATGGCGGACACAGTCAGCACACCAGCGGTAGCAGCCGTGGTGGCGGCGCGCGACGCGCAAGAGCGGCGTTCGCGTTGGGTGCGTTGGCGTTGAGAGCGTCCCATCTTATATATCTTTTATGACAATAAATACCAAAAATTCGTGTGGTCAAGCGATGTGACTCGACGGAAGAAAACAAGACTCGGTTTAGTGAGTTGAAAATTCAGACAGCCAGCCGTTGATCGATGTTGACGCTCTAAATAATGATCCTTGATATCAAGCTAACGACTCTAGCCAGAGCCAGACACTTCTCGAAAAATTTACTACTTATCACAATATATGCCAAAAAAAATCCGCGTGGAAGTTGTGGTATGAAAATAAATGTCAAAAATGCGTGTGGAAGTTGTTGTCGGACAATAAATGTCAAAAGCTGTAACGAAGAGACCTTTCCTTGAGGCAAAAAAAATATTAAGAGCAATAAAACTTTGCAAACACATCCCGTCGGAAACCTCAACCTCCAACACCCAAACCCAAAACCTCCAACACCCGAACCCAAAACCTCCGACACAAAAACAAACAAACCCCAAACCCATGAACCCATGAACCCATGAACCCATGAACCCA